GCAAAACCACTTCGCAGAGCAGGTAAACATAGCATGCTTGTTATTGTAATGAAAAAAAAAACGGGAAGGTTTACAATAACTTTAAAGACAATTTTTCATTAGATTAGGCTTAAATGCCAGCCAAATAAAAAGAAGTGTTAAAATCCATAGAAAGGGTCACAGTTTACCTGTTGAGTGGCATTAGCTTCCATCATGCCGTCTATTTTATGCAGCTGCCTTCCCACTTGTTAGATCCTCTGGAATGCTGACATCTTTTTATTTTATCTATAAAGCCGAATGAATACCTGCAAAATGCAAAAAAATGCTCTTGATAAATATACCATTCATGTGGTCTCAAACCGATTACAATGTCTTTTGTTGTCAAGCACATTTTTACTGTAACATTCAACTAGTGTTATTTCTTGTTTCCTCTGCGCTTTCAATTTATTTCTCTTCTGTGTAGTATTCTCTATTTTCTGTTTCTAACCTAAAATATTTCATCCAGAAAAAGCTATATATCTGTCTCTATAGAGATTATTTGTCAAGTGTACCCAAAGTGCCAGGTGATGCTTCATCTTGTGAAATGTAATGGTTTGGTACCATTTTTGGTGGTGGGAAAAAACAGAAGAAAAATTGAGATTTTACAGTAAGCACAGTTGATGAAAGGTCTGAAAATATGCTGTAAGCAAATTTAAATGCATTGATTATGTGTTACAAACAGACTAAGTCCCAGTTGGAGGACTGAAACTCAGCTAGATAAAATTAACCTATCCCCTGCTGGCCATTCATTGTTTACACATAACTAGGGAAACCATTTTGAGAACTGAAAGAATATTCATGAGACTGTGGCTCATTCATTAAGAAGAAGCAGTGTTAAATCAATAATGGTCATTAAGTGCCTAAGTGATTTTGCCTAGTGAATTAGTAAGCTGCATTATGGTGACTATAGGCTGTTGAAAAAGGCACATTTTACATTCCAGACATGTATAAAAGCCAAGGTGATGTCATTGCTTTCAGTGTGGACTCCAATGAAGAAAACAAAAATCCAAGAGGTACTCGGATTTTGATATGTATTCATGCAAAGTAGTGAGAGCACAAAACCATTTGTAGAGCTCACTGGCTCATTTTAGGCTGCTCACAACAGGCAAGGCTACCATTGACTGTATATATATGTAAGCTATTCATGATTTTCTATGATTTTTGGGCTTCATGCATATGGGCAGAACAAATGATGCTGTTAGTGGTGCCTGGCATTGTTTCTAAGCCTCTAAACACAACTCAAAGTTAGCCAATGTGTCCATGCACATTAGACATTTACTTGAGTATTTAAAAGGGAGGATTTGAAGACTTGCATTCAGAAAGGAGCCTATGAGCATAATTTACACAAGTACTCATTTTAAACACACAGAAAGGTATCTAATTGTGCATAAATATATTCCAATGGATAGAATAAATTAACCCCTTGGCGCCTCCTGACCCATTAAGGGTTTAGATGCTGTTAGGGGGAACAGGGTTTCTGACTGTTGTCACAGCAGTCACAGAAAGCTCTGATTGCAAGTAGAGATCAGGAACTTTCTGTTAGCTGCCGGTAAGTGTGTCGGAAGCATGCAGAGCATGCTCTTTCAGCACAGCTCTGTTTATCTTTAGGTGTGCATACTGTATATGTGGCCTCTCAGCGTTAAGGCTCACTTGCCCAGAGGCCACCTATATGCTATACAGCTGGTGGGAAGGAGTTAATATTCTTGCCAGTAGAACACATTTACACTCAAGGCCAGAAGTGCATAAATGCACATAAATACAAGCACATATGCAAACATTAAAGATTTTTTATCCAAGCTTTGGCAGAAAAGATCCAACATATTTGTAGCATAAAAATCATACACCCATGTGTATGAAGCCTTAGACTTATGATTATACCAGACATATTTATATTATATTGTATTTTATTGTAGCGCTGATGAAGGGGAGTTTTTTTCTGCCCCCTTAAACATGTTTACTGTTTTTTAGAATAAACTAATAAATTAAATTGGACTCTTTTTTTTCTGCTCCTTCCATTAGTGCCTGTTTTTTTTTTCATTGCTCTCAATGAAGATTTTTTTCACGCTATAAATGGTGTAGCTAACAATGACACTGAATGCTGACTATATCCCATGTACACATTATGCAGCCAGCACAGATATTTTGCTTGTACCCCCCAGGCATCCCTACCTACATGACTTTATACCACAACTGTATACAGTATGACTATCTGGTATGTAACTGGTGCTCCATTGGCTTCTGTCTACACGTGCCCTCCTTGTCATGCCACCATAAATACTTCTGTAAAATAATTGACTGCCAGAGCCTAGCATAACAACTGAATGTTTTCCTATAAAAAAAACATGCCAGTACTGTCATAAAACAATGGCATCTATTTTTGGTAGCCAGCCATACTGACAGTTCTAGTCACACAGTGCACTTTTTGTTTTCTACACCTGAGTATTATGTGTTCACTGGTATACATTTTACTCAAGTCACAAAGCTTTAAACAACATTGCTTATGTGAATACACTCCAATCACTATAAGAGTATTTACATATACACAGCATATACATTGCACAACATATACACAAGGAGGGGCGTTCAAGTCAAATCGGTACTTTGGAGTTTATATAATAAAAAAACTAATTTCAAAGAGTGGAAACTGCATTTATTTTTTTTACATAATTGCCTGCTACATTTATACACTTATCCCAGCATTTAACTAATGCCTTGAAAGCTTCGGCATAGTAAGATTTGTTAGTATGCCTGAACCATCCTAGGACAGCCTGCTTCACTTGGTCATCATTGTGTTCACCGTTCCCACAGAAAGATTCATCTCTTGTGCAATTGTATGACAGGTTATGCTTTCATTATTCAGGATCAGGCGTTCCACGCACAGAATATGCACAGGAATGAATGCTGTGGGCTGGGAACCACCACAGTCGGGATCATCATTGACAGATGTACGGCCATCTTTGAAACGTTTACACCATTCAAATGTCTTACTGCAGCTGAGCGTCTCATCACCGTACTGTGCTTGATGTCTTCTGTAGACATCTGCGGGGTTTTATGCCTTTGTTCATAAGAAACTTCATCACCACATGTTGTTCCATGCACACACTAACACTGTTGTCTGCCATCTTGATTAACAGTCTCTGGACTGACCCACGACATGTTTGCCACCTATCAGTAATAGGACATGCCACTTACTACTGCATGTAGTACCTCCATGCTAGCATCCCTGTAAATTTAAAAGTCCCAGTTTGACTTGAATGCCCCTCGTACAATACAATGTGCAGTACAAGTATGGAGTTAGTTTAACTCTCAGTTTCATGTCTTTTGATACTGTGTGCTCCTGTGTCCCAGGATAAAAAGAGAACATAGCTTTGTAATAATATATGCACCTAATTGGTTACTAGCACTAGCAAATGTATAATGAGTGCATATTCTGAAACTCCCAAATATCACAATACCTATTGAATATATTACACAAGAAAAATATTCCAAAAATATCAGAATATCTATTGAATATATTACACAAGAAAAATATTCCAAAAATATCAGAATACTTATTGATTATAATTACACAAGCAAAACTTTATATGGCCACTAAGCACTGTAATACATATCATTTGGTTTAAAAAAATAACTACAGTGTTATTTTATCATTTCATTTGTAGGGTAACATTTATACTTTTTTCATTAAAACAGGGATGTAACCTTTCTTTTCTGACATGGATGTATTTACTTGTTAAGTTTGACCTATATTTCTTAGCACAATAAATTATTTTGTCAATAGTAGAAATGAAAACAGTTTACTTTTAGGCAACCCATTTTTTAAGGCAGCTGGATGAAATGAAAATGACAAAGACCTTGTCAATGTTTTTCTGTCAACGTTTTCAGAACCTGCCATATTGCACACCAGTGGTAAAGGAAAGTCAGTTTGTGATTTGATTATCTGTTATCCAAATGCATTTGTTTCCTTCTTAAACAATACTCTAATCAAAATACAAAATGTGCAAACTAAACAAATCTACAATTACCCTTTAGCAACTGCTTGTATTGCTGCAAAGAATTAACAAACATAGATGTATAAATGCAGAGATACACACATTTTAGCCAGTTAAACCCTATTCCTTTCTGCTGTCTTGTGTTAAACTCCCTGGTTGCTTGCTTTATTTTAAATATAAAGTATTATTTGAGTCTTGATACCTGGGTTATCAGATCTTAACAATTACATTCATATATATATATATATATATATATATATATATATATATGCAAAATATATACATACATTGTATTACCAAAAGTATTGGGCCGCCTGCCTTTCCATGCACATGAACTTTAAAGGCATCCCAGTCTTCAATATTGAGTTGGCCCACCCTTTGCAGCTATAACAGCTTCAACTCTTCTGGGAAGACTGTACACAAGGTTTAGGAGTGTGTCTATGGGAATGTTTGACCATTCTTCCAGAAGGGCATTTGTGAGGTCAGGCACTGATGCTGGACAAGAAGGCCTGGCTCACAGTCTCCACTCTATTTCATCCCAACGGTGTTCTGTCGGATTGAGGGCAGCCCAGTCAAGTTCCTCCACCCCAAACTCTCTCATCCATGTTTTTATGGACCTTGCTTTGTGCACTGGTGCGCAGTGATGTTGGAACAAGAAGGGGCCATCCCCAAACTCTTCCCACAAATGTTGGGAGCAAGAAATTGTCCAAAATGTCGGTATGCTGATGCTTAAGAGTTCTTCATCAACCCCACACCATAATCTCCCCCTCCACCAAACTTTACACTTGGCACAATTCAGTCAGGAAAGTAACGTTCTCCTGGTAACCCCCAAATTCAGACACGTCCATCGGATTTCCAGACAGAGAAGCATGATTGGTCACTCCAGAGAACAAATCTCCACTGCTCTATTGTCCAGTGGTGGTGTGCTTTACACCACTGCATGTGATGCTTTGCATCACACTTGGTGATGTAAGGCTTCGATACAGCTGCTCAGCCATGGAAAACCCATTTCATGAAGCTCTCTATGCACTGTTGTTGTGCTAATCTTAAGGCCACACAAAATTTGGAGTTCTTTAGCTATTGAAGACAGCTGGCAACTTCTGCGCACTGTGCGCTTCAGCATGCACTGGCCCTGCTCTGTCATTTTACATGGCGTACCACTTTGTGGCTGCCTTGCTGTTGTTCATAGTTGCTTCCACTTTGTTATAATACCAATAACAGTTGACTGTGGAATATTTAGTAGCAAGGAAATTTCACGGATGGACTTATTGCACAGGTGGCAAGCTATCACGGTACCACGCTTGAATTCACTGAACTCCTGAGAGCCACCCATTCTTTCACAAATGTTTGTAGAAGCAGTCTGCATGCCTATGTGCTTGATTTTGTGGCCATGGAGGTGATTGGAACACCTGAATCCAATGATTTGGAGGGCTGGCCCAATACTTTTGGCAATATAGTGTATATATATATATATATATATATATATATATATATATATAATGAATAACATTGTATATTGATACATTGTGGGTACCAGTGGAGCTGGCAGTTACTACTTATGTCCCACAACTCTTTCACTGCTACCTACCTCTCCTATCCTTAGCAGTTTCTTTCTCAGTCTGGGCACACTTTGTGAAAATATTCAACTGCACCCACTGCTGATTGAAATTAGTTACAGCATACAGGTCCCTTTTCTATTTGTAACACCACTAAGGAGCTCAGTTAAAAAAAAAAACAGCTTACTGCCCTACGTAGGGATGTACTGTATTCATAAAATAAATTAAGAGCTATTCATCCTGTGAAACTGCATGTACATTCCCTCTGTGAGGACGGGGGCAAAAAATGTATGTTATTGAGCTTTTTTCTAACCAGGTTGAATGTTGATATTTCTAATGATTGGCAGTTCATGGGACATAGCTTTATCTAACACCTATGGTTTATCTAATACCATATGAATTTTTCAACAACTTAGATGACTCTTTTTCCCCAAGGATTTAAGCTTTCTGGTTGCAAATTCCATTTCGGGTTGCTTCACAAGTGCTGATAAAGTTGTATTGGAACAACAAAGATTGATTTTTTTAAAGCTTTGTTTTAAAAAGGAATTGAACCCTGAAAGGTGGGCCTTAAAGAAATCAGGCAGAAGGCAAAGGACTAGTCACCAGTCTGGACTACAGCTGATCTTTCCCCATTACTTACTTATCATGCCTTGTTCTTCCGTGTGGGGAGGAGGCAACCTTAGTAGATGCAGGACTTTGCTGTCTCATGTCTGAGCCTCCAGGAAGAAGACCGGTGAGTAGCACAATAATGACAATATCACATTTAGCTACAAATCTCAGGGTTCGAATTTCAGTCGCTTCAGCAGGAACTGGAAGAAATTCAAATCATGTATGGGCAAGCTTAATGTACCCAAGTTGATCGATTGATCAACTTGGGTACAACCAGCCTGCTGTATTTTGCATGTGACTATTTGCTAGCGGCTGTTATAGATAATCACTGTGTTCTCACTGGGAGAACACAATGGCTCTGTGGGAGGAATTCCCCATATCAACACTGACCCATGGTTACAGGAAAGAAATTTGCTCCGTCTATGACTAGCTTTAGATTAGACATTTTAAATAAATGGCAATATTGCAGTTGATGCAAAAGTGTCTTGGCACTATCTCATACCAGGTAGTGCTCTTATTTTTCAGAGAAATTCAAGACAAAAAGGTGCATTTTCCAGGGTACTGCTTAGGCACAATTAACATTTTTAGGTCCATATAACTTAGCAAATCATTACTTTTTTGAGTTTAGCTTTACTTTAAGCTCAAGTTAGTACATTAAAAAGTTGGAGCAATCTATAGTACACACCTTTGGAATATGCTGTGCTGCCAGAAACAGGCGATGATGATGGACACCACATAGGGCAGATTGTGTATCTTGTTCTGTTTTTATTCAGGTACCAACATGTGCTTTACAACTTGATAATGGAGTTTTCCAGTATATAGTATAATATAACCTATTTTGGATGACTTCCATGTAGTCAAAGAGTGGACTTTTACTCTTACAACCACCGCAAAAGCAGTTTACCTAACCATCCAATTAGCATGGCAGAAATAGATACAACAAGTGGGCATACAGTACCAACATCAATTTTATGGACACTGGTGCTGCAGATAAAAATCTGAAGTCATGGTTGCTTCACCTGTCAGAAGTCATGAACTCTAAGAGTTTGAAAGGTGAATCCTGTAGGAGGTGTTGCCTCAATTAATTTGCCATGTACATTTTTTACAGAACGCTACTTTCTCCATAGCTCACATTAATATGTGATGAGCCTATGGTTATTCGTATATAATTATGATGATGTGATATGTTCTCTGAACAAGCTCTGTGGTATGTCCAAGAGCAGCCCTTCCACATCATTTTACATTTTTACATAATCTCCGGAACCAAATACAAGCTGTATTTGTCAGCTACTGTGAAGATGATTCCAATTAAAGCTTCTGGCAGTATTCCAGCTGTTTTAGTACCTCAAATAGCACAGAGCATAACATAGTTTATGAAGCATTCAAAAGTCAAATACCCTATTAACATAAACATGTTCTGAAATCAAGTCATCTAACAATTTTCAGCTTGCTTACTTTCTTTCATTTTCTCAGAGCTAATCAAAAAAGGTGTCTTTTCCCATTTTTCATACTTTTAACACTTAATATAATGCAAAGTAGGGCATTTGGCATGCATCGGAAATATAACATGCACAAATATTTAACTTCAGGGCAAATTAATTATAACAATGTACATTCAATTTACATAGTATTTCAACAATAACCCTATCATGAGATTTTCACACAGCCTTTGAGCTATTCAATTTCATGCCTCCAACCGTTATGTTTTTTTATTACATAAGAAATATTTATTTATTTTTGTTCCCTTTGTGTGTTACACTTTTCAATTATGCATTTCGCAAAAGCCAGACATCATTAACTATTATGACAGAGCCAAGTAAATGGGTGTCCATGTCATTGACTTCTGTTTAATAATGCAAAGAGCAATGCACAAAGTTTAGTAACCCACAGGAACCAGTCTGATATTATCTAGCTGAAAAAAGTACTTGTCAGCAAGCCGTAAATATTAATAAATACATTAATAATTTTACAAGTCATGATAGAAAATGGTTTGGGTTTGAGAAAGTTCATCTCTTGCTGTTCTCTTCATTCCAAATACCTCAAAGAACATCAAGCTCATCTTCAAATTGCTACTGCACTGTAGACTAAGAACATTCAAGCAGCAGGGTATATACTATTAGAGAGCTTTTTGCACTGTGTATATCTATGGAGAATCTTGTGTGAATGGCCAAATAAATGGGTGTTTGCCTAAAAGAACCTCCAGCTGCAGTGTGAAACAAAACATTTTGCAGTATTTTTTATTAATACTGCTAAATGTGACAGCTTTTTCCTAGTTGTTTGGGAGCCAGCACCCTAACAAACAGTGACCCATCCCAGTCCGGCACCTTCAGCAGTCAGCCAAGGATTACCTGTGAAGAAAAAAAAAAAATCAGCATGACCCCCCACACACACATACACACACATCTTTCCAGGCCCTTAAAGCCAGGTGTTAATTTTAAGGGGGAACCTCATGTAAAAAAAAAAAAAAAACAAGAAAGGAAAGTGTGAGGTCCCCTCCAAAATTCATATCAGATGCTTATCTGAGCATGCAGCCTGGTTGGCCAGGAAAAGGGGGGGGCAATCATGCGCTCCCCCTTCCCTGAACCATATGAGGCCACATGCCCTCAACATATGACGGGTATCTTGTCAGGGAGGACATAGGTCTCTTCCCCACAACCCTAGCCCAGTGATGATGGGGGTCTGTGAGTGGGGGGGGCTTATCAGAATCCGGAAGCACAATTGTTTTACTAGTAACTTATCTATGTGCCTTTTGCTTTGGGCCTTCTTATAGCTTAAATCATCCTACTATAGAATGATATAATTGTAGTTCCAAGAGTTAGGTTGGTGGATAATACTATGGAGCTGATTTACTAAAACTGAAGAGTGCCAATCTGGTGTAGCTGTAAGTGGTAGCCAACCAGCTGGAAGCTGATTGGTTTCTATGTAGAGCTGTACCAGATTTTTGCATGCTCCAGTTTTAGTTAGTAAACTCATCCCCTATGAGAGATGCAATAGTTTTTTTTTTGTTTTTTTTTAAATAGGCATGAAAGTATTTTTTAAAGCACAAATTATAAATTGATACTAATGTCTATCAGATATAACATTGTTGACTGTTGATCCAACTAGATGAACATTGTTATCTAGTTGCTCTGGGTATCAGTTGGGAATTTGGATTTGATTTTTTCTCTTTGGATCAACTGCAGTCTTAAGATTCCGAGAATGCAAGTTTATTTTTTATTAGTGTTTTTTTTTTTCTGACTTTTTAATATTATTTATTTTGGTTATTATTTAGGTAGTATTCTATATAGCTTAGTCTATTTTCACAAACTGAAATTGCAAACAACAGTGTACACTGATGATATGAGCTTTTTTTTATAGTTTCCATAGCAACCACTCATTTTTTATGAGGTCCTCATGGGTCATCACTGAACACCTCTGGGATTTGACAACTGATTGTTACTTACTGAAGCTCTTTGAAGGTATGTCAGCTATTTTATAAGAAATATCTTCAAAACAATGATGAACATCCTTAAGTATCGGTGATATTACTATTTGCTGGACATACATGCTAGTGTCATGCCCTTTATGGTCATTTATAGTGTATTGTCTTTATGTGAGTCATTAAAAGAGAGTAACAATAATTACTCTCAAACCACAAGCTAAAATAACAGCTAAGGTTTTCTGAGATTTCATTGCATCTATATTTCAAACCTGTTTCATTTATTTGAAACTGGGCTGATGTTAGATCTTGATCCTATGTATAAAGTTAACTTTCACTTTTATTTACGTGTTTGGCAATGGTAGCAAAGGGTTTTAGAAGTTGAGAAAGTAAAGTATAGGGATAAGGATCAGGTTAGGGTCAGTTTGTTTGCAGTTCACACATTATGTGGATGCCATAACAACTGACTACCAATAATGCACCTCCTGGCCTTTGAACTTTGGTCAGCTAACTTAGAAGGTTCAATAAGTGGACATATAGATGCGCCAGACTCCTTACTATGAAAGGCTGCGTTCCCAGCAGCTATTTTGACAATGTGCTTAGCTGTGATATGAACAGGATAGGAAGTGCTGCTGAAAAAGTACATAAGGATACATAAGTTGGCTTATAAGCGCTGGTCTTCTTAAGTAGATATAAACCTTTGGTGAATATCTTTTCTATAACAAAATGCTGTCTATCTTGGGGCATTTCGAGGTGGATAGAGGGAAGGGTTTTTGCATCTAA